AGATATAGTCCTGACCAACAGAGACTGACTTCTTCCATTGTCGAGTCTCTCCTGGTGGGAACGTAGCATCTGACCATATCCCTGTTTTAATACAACTACAGCTTCTCCATTTAGAATGCCTGTACCTCCTAAACCCAATCTCAACACCCTAGGATTTGACCCCTTCAGGGCATTTCTTGGTGACGATGAAATTGCGTCGTTGGAAGATTTACCTTCCACTGTAATTGACGACGCGATCAGGTCCCTTCACAACCGAATACTTGATGCTACTAATGCAACTTGCCAATTAGCTTCCACAAAGATCTACCAACAATATAAGCCTACGAGGGAAATTAGAGACTATGAAAAATTATCAAACAATGTCGAAGGCATCTTCAAACGCAACAACCACCAGTGGCTACACTGTATAGATTGAGACAGGAATTAATTACCATGATTAGTCATCACAAACGTGATTTATGGAAATTTCTAGTTCTCGAAGCTAACCAGTATAAACGTGAACCAGCAAAATTTTGAAGCAATAGTGAGGATATATTACCAAAAACAACTGGTGGGAGCTCCATTGTTGGTGCTAGGGAGGATAGGAATAAGACAGGGAAACATGCACCAACAGGGAATACAGTCACAGAAACCAAGGCAAACGGAAACCAAGCCTGTGCACATACTATGCACTTGGTATCTGCAGACATGGGAAATCTGGAAAAACAGACGGGACGTGCAACTATGACCACCCTAGAAAATGCCATGCCCATATGACAACAGGAAAATGCAAACTCCCTTCCTGTAAGTTATTTCACCCTGAAATGTGTACCTCTTCAGTACAGGAAAGACTGTGCTATAACTTAAATTGCCAGGCACACCATCTAAAGGGTACAAAAAGATACAAAACATCCAGGCCATGGGAAAACCTGGGTAGCCACAGCCACTCAAGAGGGAGAGGTTTTTAGTGCCAGGAAGGAAAAAAAACTGGCGGGAAAAATGGCAGAAATCGTACACCAAATCCAGTCATTCCTGGAGTGGAACCACAGTCGATGGCCTCCACTCCAAACCAACAGATACAGATACTAATGCCGGAAAAAAAATCCACCCCCAGTACCAACAATACCACCAGTCCGATAACATTCTTCTTTGCAAATATACAGGGTCTAAAGCCAGCAACAAACAACAAAATACCTTTCATCCGTGGACGGCTTGCAGAGGCAAAGGCAATGTTCACGGCTTTCACTGAGACCCACATAAAGGATCACTTGGACAACGAAATATGGATCCCAGGTTACAACCTATACAGATGTGACAGAGTAAACAGGCAAAAGGGGGGGGGGGGTTGGCCTGTACATCGCTAAGTCACTTGTTTGCACAGAACTGCTAAATGCCTCAAATGATGTAGTGGAAGTTTTAGCAGTAAAGGTCGAGAACCAAAACCTAGTCATTGTGGTAGTCTACAAGCCTCCGGATGCAACATCCCAGCAATTCCAGGAACAGCTGTTAAAAATTGACCACTGTCTGGAAAATCTTCCAGCTCCTGCACCCAACATCTTGCTCCTGGGGATTTCAACTTAAGGCACCTAAAATGGAGGAATATAGCAAATAATATTGTTGCAGTAATAACACCAGGAGGCAGCTCTGATGAAAACTCACACTCACACGAGAGCTTTTAAATCTCTGCACAAAATTCAATTTAAACCAGCAAATAATAGAGCCTACTAGACTAGAGAATACACTAGACCTCATCTTCACTAACAATGATATCTGATAAGAAATGTTACCATATCAAAAACAACATACTCAGATCACAACATAATTGAGGTTCAGACATGTATGCGTGGAGCCCCCGACCGACATAATGAGACTAGCCACGAGGGAGCATTCACCAAATTCAACTTCAATAACAAAAACATAAAGTGGGACCAAGTAAACCAAGTCTTAACCGATATAAGCTGGGAAGATATACTAAGCAACACCGACCCCAACTTATGCCTAGAACAGATTAACTTGGTGGCACTCGATGTATGCACAAGGCTTATTCCTCTAAGAAAAAGGAGGAGTAGATGTAAAATAGAAAGAGACAGGCGCTCCCTTTACAGGCGACGGAAAAGAATAACAGCGGCTAAAAGAGGTCAATATATCTGAAATGCGTAGGGGACACTGGTCAGAGAAATAGCAAGCATCGAACTCAAGCTAAAGGAATCTTATAGGAGTCAGGAATCGCGGGAAGAACTAAAAGCCATCAATGAAATCGAAAGAAACCCAAAGTATTTCTTCTCCTATGCCAAATCAAAGTAGAGAACAACGTCCAGTATTGGGCCCCTACTTAAACAAGATGGGTCCTACACAGATGACAGCAAGGAAATGAGTGAGCTACTCAAGTCCCAATATGACTCAGTTTTTAGCAAGCCGCTAACCAGACTGAGAGTCGAAGATCAAAATGAATTTTTTATGAGAGAGCCACAAAATTTGGTTCACACACGCCTATCCGATGTTATCCTGACGCCAAATGACTTCGAACAGGCGATAAATGACATGCCCATGCACTCTGTCCCAGGGCCAGACTCATGGAACTCCGTATTCATCAAGAACTGCAAGAAGCCCCTATCACGAGCCTTTTCCATCCTATGGAGAGGGAGCATGGACACGGGGGTCGTCCCACAGTTACTAAAAACAGACATAGCCCCACTCCACAAAGGGGGCAGTAAAGCAACATCAAAGAACTACAGACCGATAGCACTAACATCCCATATCATAAAAATCTTTGAAAGGGTCCTAAGAAGCAAGATCACCACCCATCTAGAAACACATCAGTTACACAACCCAGGGCAACATGGGTTTAGAACAGGTCGCTCCTGTCTGTCTCAACTATTGGATCACTACGACAAGGTCCTAAATGCACTAGAAGATAAAAAGAATGCAGATGTAATATATACAGACTTTGCAAAAGCCTTCGACAAGTGTGACCATTTGGGGTAATAGCGCACAAAATGCGTGCTAAAGGAATAACAGGAAAAGTCGGTCGATGGATCTATAATTTCCTCACTAACAGAACACAGAGAGTAGTCGTCAACAGAGTAAAGTCCGAGGCAGCTACGGTGAAAAGCTCTGTTCCACAAGGCACAGTACTCGCTCCCATCTTGTTCCTCATCCTCATATCCGACATAGACAAGGATGTCAGCCACAGCACCATGTCTTCCTTTGCAGATGACACCCGAGTCTGCATGACAGTGTCTTCCATTGCAGACACTGCAAGGCTCCAGGCGGACATCAACCAAATCTTTCAGTGGGCTGCAGAAAACAATATGAAGTTCAACGATGAGAAATTTCAATTACTCAGATATGGTAAACACGAGGAAATTAAATCTTCATCAGAGTACAAAACAAATTCTGGCCACAAAATAGAGCGAAACGCCAACGTCAAAGACCTGGGAGTGATCATGTCGGAGGATCTCACCTTCAAGGACCATAACATTGTATCAATCGCATCTGCTAGAAAAATGACAGGATGGATAATGAGAACTTTCAAGACTAGAGAGGCCAAGCCCATGATGACACTCTTCAGGTCACTTGTTCTATCTAGGCTGGAATATTGCTGCACACTAACAGCACCTTTCAAGGCAGGTGAAATTGCTGACCTAGAAAATGTATAGAGAACCTTCATGGCGCACATAACGGAGATAAAACACCTCAATTACTGGGAGCGCTTGAGGTTCCTAAAACTGTATTCCCTGGAACGCAGGCGGGAGAGATACATGATTATATACACCTGGAAAATCCTAGAGGGACTAGTACCGAACTTGCACACGAAAATCAGTCACTACGAAAGCAAAAGACTTGGCAGACGATGCAACATCCCCCCAATGAAAAGCAAGGGTGTCACTAGCACGTTAAGAGACCATACAATAAGTGTCAGGGGCCCGAGACTGTTCAACTGCCTCCCAGCATACATAAGGGGGATTACCAACAGACCCCTGGCAGTCTTCAAGCTGGCACTGGACAAGCACCTAAAGTCGGTTCCTGACCAGCCGAGCTGTGGCTCGTACGTTGGTTTGCGTGCAGCCAGCAGCAACAGCCTGGTTGATCAGGCTCTGATCCACCAGGAGGCCTGGTCACAGACCGGGCCGCGGGGGCGTTGACCCCCGGAACTCTCTCCAGGTAAACTCCAGGTAAGATTCGGCAACTTTTAGGGGCAAAGCACAAGGCTCCCAGTTACCTAATTCATACCTTCACTGATGGTGATGATGAGGAGGAGGTTGAGATTAAACTTGATGATCCACAGGACCAGGCTAATTTGATGGGTGATGTTTGGGAGAAAATTCTCTCCCACAATAACAGTCGTCGATTTAATAACTACTATCAGTTGGTCAATGAATGGAGAGATGAGAACTTAGCTGATCTACAACCACTACCTTCCATCGATACATCAACTCTTGAAGAGGCGTATCACACTACTTGAGATGAGTCAGGTTATTGGAAGAATGCAAAATAGAGCCCCTGGTCTCTCTGGAATAACAATGAAACAAATAAAGTTCCTACCCAGAAATTGTAAACAGTCTTTGGTCAATATCTTTAATGCCATCTTGGCCTCCGGACATTTTCCAGTGGTTTTTAAGACTGCGAGGATGATCTTTCTTGCGAAACCCCATAAAGACGTCCACCAACCTGGAAACTATAGACCTGTATCCTTACTTGAAGTCACTGGCAACGTTCCTGAGATCATTTCCAATAGATTGAACTATTATATGGAGTTTAATCACCTCTTTACAGAAAAAACAATTCGGCTTTAGGACTCATAGAGGTACCCATTATGCAATAAATATTATTTTCGATGCTGTAGCGAGCTTGAAACATCAGGGCAATCTTGCCCTAATTGCCACCAGAGATGTTCATAAAGCTTTTGATAGCTTATGGCATGATGGTCTTATATATAAACTTATTGACCTACCTAACCATAACTGGACCTTTCTCAGATTTATATATAACTTCTTAACTCAAAGAAAAATCGTTCCTACCTTTCACGGCAGGTCGACAGAGCCTTTTATACCACAGCTGGTGTCCCACAAGGTTCTTGTCTTAGTCCAATTCTATTCAATATTTATGTGAATGATCTTCCTTAACCGGAGTTCAATGATACAATTATAACGCAGTTTGCAGATGATGTTATCCATGTCGTCTCGTCAACCCCTGTAACAGGAAAATATAAGTATGAGAGGGTCATAGAAAAAATGAATATTGAACTTCGTCGAACATCTAATTGGGAAAAGAAATGGAGAATTACGACCAACCCTGACAAAGTCCTTGTTAGCACGATATAATGTTTTGCATCAAAGACAGGGGATATCTCCATCAGAGGTAAACCTGTAGCCATTAGAAACCCTAACAAGATCTTGGGATATGAAATAGACAGGCTGCTCCACTCAACATCTCACGTCAGTAAAAAGATCAACATAGCCAAAGCCGGTCTTAGATTTAATCAAGCCCCTTCACACGTCAAAAAAAACATTTGTATAAAATGATAATAAGACCAATACTCGAATACCCTTGTGTCCCAATGTCGTTAACAACAAAGACCAACATGCTACGGTTACAGTGGGTCCAGAATAGAGCTCTCCGCTTTATTACGGGTACCAGGAGGAGAGACAGAGTCAAAATGACAGATTTACACGTACAACAGGATATTACTGCCTTAAATGTACGCCTTGATATGCTGAAAAAGAAGCAACTCTATGCAATGCAAGAGCTCTACATACCAGATAGCGAACATCCTCCCCAAGTTGAAAATACTACCGACCATATCATTAACACTCCTCCTCACAGGACCCAAAGAATGACTCCCACAGAGCATAATGATGTCAACGAGATAACGTCAGTTGATCAAATGAAAATGCTGGCCCACAGATGGCTCCAACTTCATCCTGTTCCCTACTTGTATGTCTCATAACAAAAATGCTTTCAAATGAGCTGATGTAGGTAACAGCTCTTAGCTTGCCAATAAAGTTAGGAATCCTTAACCTGTAAATAGCTGTCAATAAAGCTAGGGATCCTTAACCTTGTCAAACCCTGTGTAAAAAAAAAAAAAAAAAAAAAAAAAAAAAAAGGCTGCGTCGCTTCATTCATAAAGACGATTACCATCGACCAATGATCTTGAGCAACCTCCCTGCAGATGATGATTGGGTAACACCAGAACCCTTCTATGTCTACTAAGAATATTATCGCCCCTGATTATGGAGATATCTTGTATAACATTTTTACTTTCACATCTATTAAAAATTCGCTATATTTACTATGGCGGGACACCACCTTGAAAGAAGCCAACGTGCCTAGTAATTTTTCATGAATTGTCTATATAATCATCGCCTTGCCTTGTTAAAATTTTCGTTATGCAATCGCAAAAAAAGGTAATTGCAGCTTGTATATCTATTACCGATTCCGAGTCATTTACCTGGAGTTTACCTGGAGATAGTTCCGGGGGTCAACGCCCCCGCGGCCCCGTCTGTGACCAGGCCTCATGCACCTATATATCTGTTTGACTCTGATGGGTAAGTGCTATACCCTTTCCAATAATTTTCTGTTATTACACATACACTTTTTATATTGCACCAAAGTGGTTGTGTCACTTCCCTTTTATATCCTGCCTCACTCCCCCTCCCACCCTTTTATATCCTACCTCACTCCCCCTCCCACCCTTTTATATCCTACCTCACTCCCCTCCCACCCTTTTATATCCTACCTCACCCCTCCCATCCTTTTATTCCTACCTCACTCCCCCTCCAAACCCATCCTTTTATATCCTACCTCACTCCCCTCCCATCCTTTTATATCCTACCTCACCCCCCTCCCACCCTTTTATATCCTACCTCACACCCCCTCCACCCTTTTATATCCTACCTCACTCCCCTCTCACCCTTTTATATCCTACCTCACTCCCCCTCCCATCCTTTTATATCCTACCTCACTCCCCCTCCCATCCCTTTTATATCCTACCTCACTCCCTCCTCCCACCCTTTTATATCCTACCTCACTCCCCTCCCCATTTTTGATCCTACTCACTCCCCCTCCCATCCTTTTATATCCTACCTCACTCCCCTCCCATCCTTTTATATCCTACCTCACTCCCCCTCCCACCTTTTATATCCTACCTCACTCCCCTCCCATCCTTTTTTATCCTACCTCACTCCCCCTCCCATCCTTTTATATCCTACCTCACTCCCCCTCCCACCCTTTTACATCCTACCTCACTCCCCCTCCCACCCTTTTATATCTACCTCACCCCTCCCTCCCACCTTTTATATCCTACCTCACTCCCCCTCCCACCCTTTTATATCCTACCTCACTCCCCCTCCCATCCTTTTATATCCTACCTCACTCCCCTCTCACCCTTTTATATCCTACCTCACTCCCCCTCCCATCCTTTATATCCTACCTCACTCCCCCTCCCATCCTTTTATATCCTACCTCACTCCCCTCCCATCCTTTTTATCCTACCTCACTCCCCTCTCACCCTTTTATATCCTACCTCACTCCCCTCCCATCCTTTTATATCCTACCTCACTCCCCCCACCCTTTTATATCCTACCTCACTCCCCTCCCATCCTTTTATATCCTACCTCACCCCCCCTCTCACCCTTTTATATCCTACCTCACCCCCCCTCCCATCCTTTTATATCCTACCTCACTCCCCTCCCTTCCTTTTATATCCTACCTCACTCCCCCTCCCATCCTTTTATATCCTACCTCATCCCCTCCCACCTTTTTATATCCTACCTCACTCCCCCCTCCCATCCTTTTATATCCTACCTCACTCCCCCTCCCACCCTTTTCCCATATTTCTTTCCTTACCTATCCTTCTTCCTTACCATCTTACCAAAGCTCTGGTCGTAAGTTAAGTAAGGGATCTGTAACAAGTGGCATTCCACAGGGATCAGTCTTAGGCCCGTTGTTTTTTATATTAATGACCTTGATAAAGGAATTACTAGTGACATGAGCAAATTCGCCGTTAGTTTAAGTTAGTTTAATATGTTTTATGCACCCCATACCCATCCTGTGGGCGGTAGTCAAAAGATTACAGAGGTACATAATGGGTCCAGGGACTGGGCCTCAAAGTTTTGATAGCTGAGCAAGTTACAGAGGTAATGAATTCACAATTTACAAAGGTAATGAACTCACAATTTACAAAGGTAATGAACTTCAGGTAGGTCTAGTCACAATCATGACACGTTACAAAGGTATTTACAGATTACAGAGGCCGATGACACGAATATAGGTAGAATAACTGATTCAAACAAAGATGCCACGGAACTTCAGGAGGATTTAAACAAACTCAGTTCCTGGTCAGAAAAGTGGAGTTGCAGTTCAATGTAGATAAACGCAAGGTTCTGAAGCTCGGGAGTGTCCATAACCATAGTACTTATAGGTTAAATAACGTAGAACATAGCCATACAGATTAAAAAAAGGACTTGGGGTTAGGGGTAAGCAGAAACCCTTTAAAATTAAAAGTTTTCCCAAACGCTGTGTAAAAATTTAAAAGTTTTCCCTGAGATCGATAAAATCTATTTTTGGGATTTTAAAGTCAACCTTACACAGATTGAAATTAAAATTTTTCTAATTGTGAAAATTTTTCATCTTTTTAAGAAAAAAAGGGGTTTCTAAGGACCCCAATTGTACGGGAAATACGGTAATTCTTAGCACCACACTGGAAATAAGTCACTGTCTGTTTTTTTTTTGGGTTATCCCAGTTTCCCCTACCATATGTTTGTATTTAAAAAAATCGTGTAACGGTTATTGTGTTTTTAACCTGAATAAATTATTTAAATTTACTAACTTACACTTAGATTTTTAAAAACCTCTTACCACAGTAAAAACACCCCGAGGGGTTTTTTTGTGTTTGGTGGGCAACACTTAACGTTAGTCAGGACTCTGAAGGGTTTACGGGGTAGTATGTCCACACCGGGCCCAACTTTTACAACTATAACTGCAAAAATGTTTTCCCCACAAATGAAATTTTCCCATAATAAATATAAAATTTAAGTCACAATTAATATAAAAAGTTTTAAAATTTAATTTTAACTTCCTTAAATATGAAGAATTCTGTTTTATAAACATTAAAAACTGTAGTTATATTTATATATATATAAAATATATATATTTATATATATATATATTTTTAAAAATTTTATATATATATAAAATAATTTAAATATAAATATATATATTTTTTTTATTTTAAATATATATATATTTATATACACAACCACACTAAACCAAATTGAACCCCCTTTTTTAGTTTTAGATTTTGCCCCCAAAGGGGGGGCTAGTTTTTTGTGAAACCCCATATCCACCCGGGTGGACGGTAGCGCAAGGTATTGGATAAAAAAGGCCTAGGAACTGGGCCCCCAAAAAGGGGTTTAAAACGGGGAATACAAATGGATTTAATCAAAATCTATAGTTTTAAATTTACCGTTACAAGAAATTTGGAAAATTTTGGGCTTAGAATATCTGGAAATTCTTTTTTTCATTAATGGGAATTTTGCCCTGCCCACAAAGGTTATTAAATGTCTGTCTCTGTATTCCTAAAAAAGGGTGGAAAAATTTTAAGTACATAGTATTCAAGACAGTGACCAATGCCTAAACCACAAAAATTTACTTTTAGTTTTTTCATCATCTGTTTTGTCTCCCAAACGCCGGGAAGAAATTTGGAAAACCAAGCCTAAGCCGGGCCACTATAACATCCCCCGCCCCTGTTCAAAATTGCAAGTTGCTCCTTTAAAATATTTCCCGGTAGAAAAACCATCTAGTTGTTAAAGCCCACGTTCTTGGTTTGGTGGCCAGGGGGGGGTTTGGGAAGGGGTAAATTCGGGCCCCTGTTTTTATTTGAGTGGGTGTTTTGGGCCGAGCTGCCCCCGGGGAGACTCTGGGTAAAGCCTCCCGTTTTTTTGACTACGAGGCAGCCGCTCTCGCTCAGGGTTCTTTTTGTTTTGACCCGGGGGGGAATTTTTACATTGTGATTTTTTGAAAAAAAACCCTATTTTTACAGTTTTTTTCAAAAAGGCCCTTGGCTCGTAATTATTTTACCTATAGTACAAGAATTTTGGACCACACTGGGCCTTTTGCCCGGGTTGGGAAGGATTTATTTGGAGGAAAATTTATCTCACAAATTATGGTTAAATAAAAACTTGCAGAAAAAAATACTTTGTATCAATATGAGGATACTTAGTTTTGGTCGCGGGCCCTGCCTACCGCAGCTTCTATGGAGACAGTTCTTCTACACCAG